CATGCACTCACATTGGTGGAGTTGAAGGGCACCTTTGATTGTCCCTGGGGAGTGTTTGGATTTGGGATTTCGGTTTAGATCTAGCTTTTGCATTGTCTAGATCTAACTTTTTCCATTTCCTTTCTTTTGTTCTTTCCTTTTAGGATTTTGGTTTAGATCTAGCTTTTTGCATTGTCTAGATCTACCATTTCTTTCCAGCTTTTTGTCATTTCTCTTCTTTTGCTCTTTCTTTCTCATTCATTTTCATGGCCGATCCGCAATCTCCTCCTTTGACTCTAGAGTAGCAGTTGGTTCAATTGCTTGATGCTATGCGCTTGCAATTGAACAACCAAACTCAGTTGATGGCGGCGTTCATGGCACATGGTACAACTCCTCCTGCTTTTGGTGCCAATCCTTGTGTTCGGCCGGAGTTCTTTCGTGGGAATCCTAGAGATGATGTGTACTATTGGTTCGATCACTTCACGGTGATTGCCACATATCATTCTTGGGATGATGCTTGACGTTTGCGTGAGTTCCCCACATGTCTTCAAGGGACGGCATTGCAGTGGTACAATGGATTGAGCGCAACTACTCGTGGCGATTGGAGTGTTCTTTCGGACGTCTTCAAACGTGCCTTCGGACACGCCGACGATTGTGATGATGCCTTCCAACAATTGCATCGTCTTCGCCAAGGGCCATCTGAGTCGGTGATGCAATTTGGCATTCGTTTCCGAAGTCTTTTGCTTCGTGTGGAGCCAAATATGTCGGAGCGGATCAAGCTAGGAATGCTGTGGCCAACACTTCGTCAAGATCTTGTCGGACTTGTGCATGCACTTGCTCCTGCCACTCTTGACGATGCTCTTCGCTTGGCACAACGTTATGAGACGTCGCCTCTTCCACTTCTTGCTACACGTCCTTCAGCTCCACTTCCTATGAGTGATGGTCCTGTTCCCATGGAGGTTGATGCTGCTGCTACTCGAGTCCAAGGACAAGGGCGAGGACGTGGTCGTGGCCGTGACGTTTGTTGCTGGGCGTGTGATGAAGTTGGTCATACTTATCGGCGTTGTCAGCGCTTTCCGGATTGGCGACTTCCATTTCCTGGGTGGAGACCTTGGCGTCAGCAACGTCCCGTTGGTGCTGCTGCGGTGGAAGGTTTGGATACCGAGGTGCATTCGGGAAACGAGGAGTCGCGCGAGTAATGGAGGGACCTTGCGCGAATAAGTTAGTGACCCCTCCATCTTTCTTTCGGGAGTATCATCAAGGGGTTCACTCGGCACCGGTTCATCCAGTGTTTACTTTCCAAGCTCGTTTTTATAACAAGAGGTCTCCTATTCTTCTCTCCGTGTTGGTTGATACAGGTTCGAGTTTATCTTCTATTGCTCGACCTGTTGCCACACGTTGTCGTCTACACGTGCGTCGTGCGGCGGATCCAGTTTTCATTCTTTATGGCAACGGCCGTACACATGCATGTGCACGAGATGAGGCGGACCTGGTTGTGCGTGTGGGCGATCTCGAGCTTGAGTTGCAATCGTTGCGGGTAGTGCCGAGTCAAGCTTTTGACCTCATTCTTGGTATGGATTGGTTGCAGCACAATCATGACAAGTGTGACTTTGAGGCTTTTCCCCCTTGTCTCATACTTCCTTATGTTTTATCCATTCCTCTCACTTCCGTACCTCTTCGTCCCTCTACTTTTACCTCTGCTTCCATTACTTTTGTTCCCCCATTATTTCCTCTTGTGTTTCCATCTTGTTCTGCTCTTCCCTTTTCCGATCCCTCCGATGATCTTTGTGTTGCAGCTGTTGACCAGCTCATGAAGGAGTATTCTGATCTCTTTGAATTTGACCTATCGTTTGGGGCCAAGATTGCCACACGTCATCCCATTCCAACCGGGGATGCTCGTCCAATCAAGGTTCCTGTTCGTCGTCGGTCACCCAAGGAGATCAAGATTTTACATGCAAACGTCAAGGAGATGTTGGAGAAGGGTGTTATTCGGAAGTCACGGAGTCCTTGGGCATGTGAACCTCATCTTGTGACGAAGCCTGATGGGAGTATTCGTTTTTGCATCGACTATCGTCCGTTAAATGAAGTGACGATCCTGGACGTGTACCCTCTTCCTCACACTGCTGATCTCTTGGATCGTCTGGGGCGAAGTCGTTGGTTCACCAAGCTAGATCTTGCTTCTGGGTATTGGCAAGTACCGATGGCTGAAGACGATATTCCTAAGACTACTTTTCGTACACCATTTGGTTTGTACGAGTTTTTGGTGATGCCGTTTGGTTTGAACAATGTTCCAGCAACTTTTCAGCGGATAATGGACGAGGTTCTTTGCGATATGTCGGAGGTGACGGCTGACTTCATTGATGATGTCTTGATCCACTCGGAGGGGACGTGGGAGGAGCATGTTCGTGATGTTTGTAAAGTGTTGGATCAGCTACGCGACGTTGGTTTAAAGCTGAAGCGGTCGAAGTGCGTGTTTGGGTCCAAGGACACAACTTATCTTGGGTACCGTATTTCTCGTGAGGGTTTGCAAGTTGATCCTGACAAACTTGTGGCTGTTCTAAAGTTCCCTACTCCGAAGTGTGTGAATGATGTGTAGCGGTTTTTGGGTAAGGTGCAGTATCTCGGTCGTTTTGTGGATCATCTTTCCGATCGCACTATACCATTGCGAGCGTTGCTGAAGTCATCAACGTCATCTTTCATCTGGTCTCTCGATTGTGAGCGGGCGTTTGTGAATCTCAAAGAGCTATTGACGACTCCTCCAGTTTTGGCATATCCTGACTACACTCGACCTTTTATTTTGCGCGTGGATGCTTCTGACATTGGTCTTGGAGGTGTGTTGATGCAAGAGAGCTCGAGTGTGCCTGGTCAGCGCCATCCCATTGCATACATAAGCCGTACATTACAACTAGCGGAGATGAACTACTCCACGACGGAGAAGGAGTGTTTAGCAGCAGTCTGGGGTTTTGAGAAACTTCATGCCTATCTACATGGTTCTCGGACGTTACTTGAAGGTGACCATGCTGCTGTTACTTCATTATTGAAGCGGAAGAACCTGGTTGGTCGTACGGCTCGATGGGCTTTGAAGCTTCAGATATATGATTTCGATGTTATTCATCGCCCAGGGAGTTCTATGGCTGATGCTGATGCCCTTTCTCGAGCTCCTCTTCCTTCTCCACTCACTTCTCATGTTTCTGACGAACCTGTTGTTCCAGCATCGGTGGATTTTCTAGATGAGGATTCTGTGCTGTCGGCGGTTGCTGTCCTTGACGTTCAGTCTCCACAGGGCGTAGAGCAAGATCTACCTTCTCTGGATGAGGTTCGCGAGGCTCAAAAGATTGAGCCGTGGATTCGAAGGCTTCGAGATGGGTTTGAGAATCCTGCATCACTTGCTGATGACTTGCCTTTTCGGCATTTACATTCTCAATATCGCCTTGAAGATGGCCTTCTTTATTTTGTGGGGACGGATCCTGATGCTCATTTACGGCTGGTGGTGCCTTCGGTGTTTATTCCGCGGTTTCTCCATGCCTACCATGATTCTCCTATTCTAGGTGGGCATATGGGACACCGTCGTGTCACCGAGAAGCTGCGCAGATCTTTCTATTGGCCAGAGATGCGACGTGATATTATCCGGTATGTGCGTAGCTGCGTTTGGTGCCAAGCTCGTAATACTCCCCCTTGTGCTGCGGAAGGACGGTTGGAGTCAATTGCAGTTTTTCGTCCGTTTGAGTTGGTGGCGTTTGATCTTATGGGACCTTTTCCGCGATCGACTGCTGGCAATGAGTATGTTATTATTGCTTCTGACTACTTGACTCGTTGGGTGGAAGTTGGTACTCTTGCTAGTGCCTCTGCAACTGCTGTTGGATACTTCCTCCTCAATCGAGTGGTGTTCCAGCATTCTTGTCCAGAACGGATTCTTTCGGATAATGGTCCTGCATTTATGGCTGAGGTATTTCATGTTTTGACATCTCAGTTGGGGATACACCACACTTTTACGAGTGCTTATCATCCACAATCAGACAGTCTGGTGGAATGGCTCGTTCGGACATTCAAAGGGATGATTGCGAAGTATGTGAACTTTCAACATTCGGATTGGGATGGTTATTTGCCGTCTCTTCGGTATGCTTATGTCACAGGGGTGCAGAGTTCTGTTGGTGCTTCACCATATAAACTTCTATATGGTCATGATCCAATATTACCAACAGAGCTGGGTTTACCTTCGCGATTGCCACGAGCTTCTGATGCTAGGTCATGGGATCAATATTTGACAAGCATTCTTCCACTTGTCCAAGCAGAGTCTGCTGAACACTTAGGCCGCGTATAAGTGGGACAACAACGGCGCTACAATTCCCATCATCGTCCACCAGCGGAGTACAAAGTGGATGATTTAGTGTTAGTCCCTTTTCCCCATCTTACGGTACGTGGTTTATTTAAGGGGCTCCTTGCGCAGTGGAAAGGACCATATCGGGTGTTGTGGCAAGTTGGACCACAAGTTTATGAGGTTCGGCATGACGTTCAGCAGGCCGATCCTCCGGAGATTGTGCATGTGCAGCAGTTAAAACGCTTCATACAAAGGGATCAGGAGCAGTTCATACCGTCTACAGATCCACCGATGCCTCCTCCTGACGTTCCTCCAGATCCCGGCCCATCTACAAGAGAACCCTGACGGCCTTCCATTATTCCGAGAGGAGGGGATGATGTGAGGGCCAAGTGTACGGCTACGATGTCGTATACTAATATTAGCATAGTGGTTTTTTGTAGCCGTCGGATTAGTTTCAATCTGGACCACTCGCTCTTGTATATAAGCTAGGGTTTTTGGGCTAATTGATATGCACATTTCTGTATTCCCTTTCCATATTCCATGCACTCACAATATTATTTTTTAATAAACTTTTGAAATATATTTTATTTCAAACAGTTAATAACAAGCAATATTAAAAGCAAAGATGTTCTATAAGGTACTAATACTTTTTTTAACATTTGAACCTCAGTTGGTATATTTGTTTATGAAATGTATAATAGTGTGTCTTAAATGGAATTCAATTAAAGTATTAGTTAAGTTTTTTAGCCTGCAGAGTAAGAAATTGAGCTCTGGATTGTGCCTGGCTCCTCCACTGAACCATCGGAGGAGGGGGAATTCCTTCGTGCTCTATCACTGTACCAATGGAAACAAAAAAATGTCAAACGTTATTCAAGAAGAAGGCTCTTAACTGAAGCTTGCGGAAACGCTTCCCCAAACAGCAGCTTTGAGCAAATCCCTCGTCTTCCGCCACCCAATCAAAAATCCACCGCAAAATGTGTTGCCACAGCCAGTCGGGTCCACAACCCTCGAGTTACTGGCGACGTGATCGTGTTGTTCGTTGTATTCTACTTCCTGTTTTTGCTTCAACACACTGTGAAATGCGGGGACTTCCCATGTCTCACCGCTATCAGCCCTGTAGAAAAGAATAGAAAAAAAACTTCTTCTTTTTGCATATTTCTTCACCTGTGAGCTAGACAGCCCAAGTGTCCTCGTCTTAACACCACCACCTTGAGGAAACAAAAGGAAGAGAAACTCACGAGACAAGGTGGAAACCAATGCTTACCTCGGCACCGAGCTCCGCAAGCCTGCCTATGAGTTCCATGGATGATCCCGGGCCAACCAGCGAGGCTGCCTCTTTCTCGTTTGGGGAGAAAATGTGCCCCGCAGAAACGAGAGCCCTGCACGAAGGAGAAAAAAAAAAAAAAAGAAGGCAAAAAGGTCAGCTCTGGAAAGAAAACTCGAGAGAAGAACCATAACTTGAGTTCTGAGCGTGTGAGAATTTCTAGAGCATGCGTGTAAACCTCAACACTCACAACTTGAGCACCAGTAGATCGTAGAGAGTGAATAAAATCCACGTCCCTGCCGCTGGGATGCACTCCGATGTGGTATGTTTTGGCTGTCCTGTCGTAAAAAAGAGAGGGACGATCGCAGTAAGATTGGTAAAGAAACAAATGTGAAAGCCATGAAGAGAAACGGGAAGAAAAAGTTGGATGCTTCACTGGTATGGAGGTGGGAGTCTCTCGATTGGGGTTTTGAGCATGTCCCAGACATCATCTCCCATATTGACTCTCCAAACCTTAAACTTTCTTTTGAGAAAAAATGGAAGAAAAAAAGAGAGAGATAAGAGTACCTGTGTTCTTCGGCCATCTTCCTCCAAGATCTAGAAAGCAAATGCCAAAAAAAAATAGGAAAAATCAACGAAGAGAGGAACGTTTTCTTTGTGTTTAACCTGCCAAGCTCGAAGAGTTGGAGACACCCATTCCAAAAGTCCAGAGGTGTCGATTCCCATATTCTCGAGCCATTCTCGACAAGCTCCAGGAAAATCCGATCCAATCCCAGCTGCTAAACCGATTCTGTTTCACAGGAAACAGAACAAAATAAAACACACACAAAGAGTTGAGAAGAAAGATGGATGGAAAGAGGAATTTTTTTTCTTCTACTACCTCTTGTCTTGAGGAGTCCACACTTGTGCTCCAAATGCAGTTTGTGGACCTGCGAGAAAGAAAAAAAATCTAAGCAAAGATTTCTTGATTCTCGTCCGCCAAACCTCCACCGCCAAGCAGCGCCATCGCTGTTCGCCCATCCGGGTAAACAATGTCGTCCACTATGATCGTGAACGTCACCATCTCCAGCTCCGCCATGGAGTTGGAGCTTCTCGCCCTAATCGCCAGGTGCTCTGTTTCTAGGTCAAGAATCCAGCCTCGCGAGATCGGCAAATCCAGCTCGTGGGTCTTGCGATCGAGCGCATTGGGTTGCCCGATCGCCAGCCCGATCGCAAAACCACTCACAATCGCAGATCTCCCGCGTTTCGCTCAATCAAGCCCAAAAATCAAGTCGCTCGAAACTAAGCTCTCTCATTCTCAGGGCAAAACAACATAGCCATTGATAGATAGATTGGGAGAGATCGAGGAGGGAGATTGTCGATCATGAGCTACGTACACCCAGTCGTGGGCGTTCCTCCACCGGCATTCAATGTGGTGGCGCCGTCCACGGCGGGCACCAAAGATTTGCAGGGAATGCCAGGCACGGCGGGGAGCCTGGCGCTGCGAGTCCTCCAGTTTGGATTCGCCGCCATCGCTCTCAGCGTCATGGCCTCCATCAGCGATTTCCAGACCGTCACAGCCTTCTGGTAAGTTTTTGCTGGATCCTCGTCTCGCATTTGGGCTGGATTGATCATCGCTCATTGCTCTAGCTTGGAAAGATGGAGCTTGCTTTGATCCATTTGCTTGCCTCGCAGCTACTTGGTCGTAGGGACCGGACTCCAGAGCTTGTGGAGCTTGTCCATGGCAGCGCTGGATGGCTACGCGCTCCTTCTCAAGCGAAGCATTCGAAGATCATCGCTCGTCACGCTTTTCGCCGTGGGTGACTGGGTAAGAAGAGGTTATATGTTTCTCTCTTTTTTTGTTCTTCCGGTGTTCACGGGACAATTGATCAGCTCTGTGCCACTCTCACGCTCGCCGCCGCATGCTCCACCGCTGGAATCACTGTGTTGCTGGCCAAAGACTTGGATCAATGTGGCCCCAACGACTGCAGCAAGCTCCAAGCGTCGGTGGCGCTCACTTTTCTCGCATGGTTCTTATCTTCGTGCTCCTTTTTCTTCTCGTTTTGGGTTATGGCCACAAGCTAAAGCCTGTTTTTTTCTTTCTCTCTCTCTCTCTCTCTCATTCTCTGCTCAAGCCCGTTCTTCCAAAGCTTTTTCAAGATCTTTAGTGTAAAATCCTCTAATTTGATACAACAATACAAATACATACCACTGGCAATATATAGTTGGAGTTGTCTCTCTCGCTCTCTTGGTTCTTCGCGACGATCTCACGCGACGATGGACCAGTCCGTGAACATAAAAGCAATGCACACGACCGCGCCATCGTCGTCGAAAACCTTCCAGGCCATTGCTCGATCGTAAGTCACGGGGTGGCCTTTGCTGGACAGACGTATCCCACCGTGGAGATACGCATACCCCTGCGGAGCACAAAACCGAAATGATAAGCAACAAGGATGGCAAACAGAAAATCGAGAGAAACGCGTCAAACGACCGTCACTCACCTGATGGATGACTTGCGCAAAGTCGGAGTAAGCCGTCTCTCTTCCTGTTGCATCGAATGTGCGCTCGTAAGGAAGGCTGTGCAGATCACGCCAAGTGGTTTCCATCATTTCCAGTCCGGCTCTGTTGGCGAATATGAACTCCGGTATCGCCTGTTTCACATCAACACAAGCTGAGACCATCCGTATCTAGTCTTGAAAGAGAGGCTTTGTCACTCACCTTCCAAGTGCAGCAAAGGATTGCGTTCTTGTCGTGCCAGAACGCATCGGTGCTCTCCGGTTGGGATTCATTGAACTCCACGTTGAAACTCGCCCTGCAACGTTGCAAGCCAAGGCTTTAGCGAGAGAACTTTAAAAAACTACGGACGAAGATGTGATGTTTTACCTGTAGCTACGCATTATCTGGAGGGCAAAGATTTTGGCCTCCTGCTGCTTCGGGCCTTGCTGTGGAGGAGACAGGCGGTACGAGGCCAGTGCCATGGCAATGCTCTGGACGGAAACCATGACGTTTCGGACGTACTGTCGAGCACTGGCGATTATCTCCTCACGGTTGTGAGCTTCAAACACGAACTGAAAGGCCATGGTCAAGACGGAGCGCATGTTGCCTCCTGAACCAGAAAAATCGTCGGGAAACTTTCCGCCGTCAGCACTCCCTTCGAGTGTCGAAGTGAGATCTAGAGTGCGAGACAAGGCTGACGCATCCTGCAAGACAATGCTCGTTAGTCACCAAGAAACTAAACCGTGGAACACCTACAAGGCCGTTGTCAAGGGGAATAACTCGAAATCCCGACGGAAGAAGGGGGATATCGTTCGAAACAGCTGGATCAACCGGTGCAAACACAAGCTGAGCACACGTCCCAGATGCAGTGTCTTCGTATCCAGTACATAACTGCATCCAAGTTTATTATATCACGTCTCAGATAAGTTATTCGTCCGTATACCTGGAGAAGGACCGTGTCTTTTGGGAGCATTCCGTTCCCATATCCTTCCATCTTGATAACTTCCAGCAGCTGTATGACGCGATCATAATTATAAGCGGCACAGTTCTCTAATGCATAACCAGTACCTCTGGAAAAAGACACTCCTCATCAGCATTCCCTTTCGACGTACCGTATCCACCAATCTTTAAAGTAGATACGGAGTCCGAGGCAATGTTAACTCCAGCCCACTCTGAGCGGTGCTCACGCAAGAAGCGAATCAGCGTAGCCGCGGGCACATTCTGCAGTAAAGGAATTCAGAGTCGGATGAACGAAAAGACAAAAACACGATTAGACCTGTAGAAGCATGGATGACTTAGCACACAAGATGCCACCGAAGGCACAGAACCTATCACCGCCCTGAGCACCAGCAGCTTTTGCACCCAGTGCCGTATTGATTGAGATTGTAACATCATCGCCACCATCAGAAGTCCAGCCATCTTCTGCGAAAGCGTTAACTGCATCGTTAAATCCCCTGCATATACGACTCAATGTGAGTATCTTTTCCGTTGTGGCAGCACCTCACCTTGCAATGCGGTGACTAAATGCACGTAAAGCAGCTGGCTGTTGCCCGCCTCTCATCAACACTTCACCGGACGACTCTTGCGAAATCCGCTTCAGATGGTGCAAAGCCTGCTTGAGAAGATGAGACATTGCTTGAAGACTACCAACACATTACCCCGAGAGTAACTCGCTGAGCAAGGATGACGGACGACTCGTACAAAGGTCGCAGCACCTCCAGCACTTTCCACGACTGAAACAAGAGAATTCATCAACCGTAAACACAAACAATCTACACTACCTCCAAATCCCAATGATCAACAACGTGGATGCTGGAGACACCACCCTCATAAGGCCTGATGAGAAATCCACTCGGCAACATCTCTGCCCTCTCAAAGTCGCCATTTTTAATAGCTGGTTTGTTGTGAATGCCAGTTAGCGATCTCTCACAAACCTGCAAGAAAAATTACAACTAATTCCCGAGAGCATTAACAAAGTTTGACATACAGCTAAACTCCTGTCCTCAAGAAAGATGGTATATCGCAACGTCCAAAAGTCGCGCGCAGGAGCTAGCGTTGTGGGAGCATACATCTGCAAGATCAGGTATATTTGAGCGCAAAGCACTGCCAGTCGCCGCCTTACCTGAGTGTAGACAAGTTCTAGAGTCCCACCATTTGGAGTAGGAAACGATCCCACAACTTCCAAACGACGACAGTCCCACAGCCAAGAGGGACGATCTTTCAGTATTTCCGCGACCTGCTCATGCATATCCATGTCAAAAAAGCACAATAGAATAGAAAACATTACCCTGATGGGCTCCAACTCTACTAAACCCCAAGCGCGAGCAGCTATACCAGCACCAGCATGTGAGATGGCTGCAGTGCCAATTGAATCCGGACCAGGCTGCAAGAAAAAAAGTCGAGTTGTCAGACACGAGTTATCCGCTGGAAAGGAAAAAAAGGAGAAAAACGCATGCCTTCATCCCAGGAATCTGGATCCAGTCCACCGCAGTTCCTGTTGCCTTTGCAAGAAATGAGTTCAAAGTCTCCTCTGCAATGCTCAACAGTCTGCAAACGAGACAAAACACCTTGAGATAAACGACCAGCTTTTTCCAAGTATTCTCACCCAGCGGGGCTTGAATCTCGTGGACTCTGAGGTGTAATTGCTAAATGTTGAGGCACTCCTCCAGTAACCTCCGAATCGGGGCTTCTGTCAGCCAAAGCCAACGCTGACTGCTCACACACACACAACAAACGGACACATCCAGCAAACAAACGTTACGTAAGCTCTTTAAAAAAACAAAGCACCACCTTCATGAATATCAAATCTCTCACCCAGATGCTCTCACTCACCTGATCATTAAATCGGTCAGCAGCCGCGGCGGACTTTTTATCAGGATCCGCGGCGCCACCACCACTTCGGATCTGCTGGAGCTGCTGACGGAGGCACTGATTCTCCAGAGCCAGCTGCGAGCTATGCTTCGTAAGTCGCTCGTTTTCCTCCATTATAATCTTGTTCATGGCCGTGAGCGACGAATTCACGCTTTGGAGCCGAGACGTCTCTTTTCTCTGCTTCTCACGGCATCTGAAACAACACCAAGGGGAGAGGAAAAGTTAAAAAATGGAAAAGCGAAACAGCACTAGAGAACAGTGATTCAAACAAAGCATAAAAAAGGTTCTAGCGAGAGTCAATAACATCTGGCTTGAAAGATTGCTGCTGAGAGCGACAACAAGTATCCAATCCAACCCACAAAGGAAAACTTCCTCTCACGCATCACCAATCTCACACTCAAGTTCTAGAGCAGCCAATCTCACACCAAGTTCTAGAGCAACACGAAAGTTCCTACGTAAGATGGAAACATACCTTCTATTCTGGAACCACACTTTGATCTGCCTGGGCTCGATGTTGCCAAGAACCGGGTAGTCCCTCACAATCTGCTGCCTCCGGATGGAGCTGGGCTTGGGACACTCATGGTAGACGCGCTCCAATGCCTCCACCTGTTCGGGAGTGTAGCGGATGTACTTGCCGGTGTCGAAATCGCTCTTGTCTTTCACCTTCATCCTTGCAAAGGCGCCCTTGGCGCTCGAGGCTAGTACACGAGGAGACGAAGAAGAAACGCGCTGGAAAGGAAGGAGGAGAATCTTTCAGCACGCCCAGCCAAGGACGCCTGGATGGCCTCTACATGCTGCGCGCTATCAAGCGCTCCGGCCAGCGAAAGAGAGGACGAAGAGCAAGCCCGGGCAGCGCGCCGCCATGGAAATATTTCGGCCTCTATCGATCGATGCCAGACTCCCTGCAATGCAGCTCCCGGCGCGTGGATCTTGGAGCGAGGAGGCCGCGGCTGAGCAGCAGCGATGCAGCGGATGGAATGCCGCCCGGGCGAGCAAGAAAGAGCCAAGCCAAACCAAGGATCGCTGCGCGCGCTCGAAATATCTCTCCGCCCTGGCGCAGCCGATCGATTCGCGCTTGGAAAGATCAGAGGAAGTGCATCTTGGAGCTGAATCTTAGAGCGCCGCTCGTCATGATAGCAGATCCAGCGACATCCTCTTAAAAACAAGAAAGAAGAAACAGTGATCTATGATCCAAGACGCGAGATGCGCACAAAGAGAGAGAGGCAACAAGAGGAGCGCAGTGGGGCAAAAATGAGAAGAACACGCGGAGGAGCGAACAAGAACATTAGAGAGAGAGCTATAGCTATGGCCGACGATGCCACGCCATGCCTCGGACATACGGCCACCATACGCGAGCCACATGCATACATGATCATCCTGCATACGTATATTTAACTATTAAAAGTGCGTGTACGGAGGGATACGCGTGGAATAAAACAAGCAAAAAATAACTGCTACGGCTTCAGTTAAGTAAGCCGCCGGACCAGTTAAGTAAAACACCGGCGCGCTAACGTTTGTCCTAAACAAAACCCGGAGATTAGGATTAAGATGATAATGTCCGTACCCCCCGCGACAGGGACCGTACAGGGACCCCGAATAAAAACTTTGTTCTGTTGCTGCTGCTGCTGCTGGTTCTGGCACTTTCATTGAATGTCGTGTCGAATCCATTCCTTCTCGCGTATGATCCATCCATCCATTGCTTAACAAATCGTTTTTTACGAGTAAAGAAACTTGCAAATTCGATCGCCCAAATCCCATACTTTCGATCAGGTTAGAAAAACCCAGGATTTAACCCTGTGCCTTTCGCGTGTGGATGGATCCTCTGCCGAATTCAATGCCCAAGGAGGAAGTGTTCTTCAGAGGCGCGATTTGGGCTGACCGAGTAGCAGCAATTGCAGTAGCAGCAGCAGCGCTAGCAGCAGCGAGAGAAAATTCCAAATGCCATGGGATGGATCCAATCAATTCAACCAACTTGATTGCCGGGATAGGAACTCGTTGTCACCGTCTCACAACTTAAAGCACTGCTTAATTGTTGCTTCATCCATCCATCCTCTTCCCCTCCTCTCTGTGGATCTCGGACGAAGGGCTCGCTCCTCTGCGCTCGCTTTGACCCCGCGGGCGAAGAACTCGGAGCAGGAAAGAAACCGGTGGATGGAAACAGGGACTTTGATTGATTGACTGATTTCGATTGCCGTGTCTTTGTGTAGTGTTCTTGGTCTGGATCCGCCCCTTGCTCGCTAAGATTTCTAGGCACAACGATTAGACGTGTAGCTCGCACCAGTATAGCGAGCATGAGCTCACACACACAAAGACCCTCTCTCCAGTCGATCGCTTTCGCCATCGCTCCTGCCTAGGAGGCGTCTCTTTCGTATCAGTTCCACAGTTTTCTTCTTCCTCCTCCTCGCACAAGAGATAAATCCCATCCACACTTTCGTAGCCCAGCAAGTAGAAGACCGAAAACGAAAAAGTTCGATCTCATTCGAGCTACACAGCTACGACGACCTCCCGCGAGCGAACGAGCGAGCGAGCGATCTGCTCGGCGCTACTCATAATCCTACCGCCCGTACAACGACGTCGCGGAAGAAAATCTCTCCGCAACTGTGATTGATTCTACGTTAAGACCGGCGTACAATCCTTTGATCTTCCGTTCGAGCGAGTAAAAGAACTTATAGCGTAGACTCATACTTGTGTGTGTGTGTGTGTGGGGCTGATGCGTAGCTCGTAGAGCCCTATTTGCGAAATCTTTGTTGTTGACTTGTGCCGCTAGAAATCTTTAATTCGCTCGAGAGATGGGGGAGCGGGAGATCATCGAAATCCATGCGTTTGCGTTTCTCAGTGTTCTCACCCCCTGGCCAGCCAAACAAAACAACATTGGCACCACTGTACGGAGGAGCGCACTTTTTCATTGTCCGCCACCTTTGCGCCCGTGATTGCTGTCTCTTTTAGTTTTTTGGCACCGCCTTGCCTGGCATGCTGGAGTTGCGTATGATTTTTCCCATGAATTGTTTACATCGGGGGGGCTTAGATCCTGCCGAGAGCTCCAGGTTTGAATGGATCGAGGGCGCTCTAAGTTTACAAAATTTTTAGAGAGTGTGTGTGATGTGGGAGTGACAAGCAGTGGGGGGGCATCTTGGGAAGAGGGGAAGGGGGCCGCCCAGCAAGCACCAAAAGAAAAAGGGCGACTGGATTTGCCCCTGCCGCGGCTTGCCAGCTTAATGTATCTAGTCGCAATGGGGGCATCTCAATCATCTGTGCAGCGTCCGTACGCCTAAGCGTGCTTTCTCTCCTTTTCCTGAGATCCGAGCTCCCAACGAGACTCCCAGTCCACTCTGTGTGTGTGTGTGTGTGTGTGTGTGATAGCTCAGTCTGTCTGGCAAGAAAGAGAATTTTATTTTATTTTATTTTTTGTTTAACTGTTTTTTTTGGCTTTTTCTTACTTTTGTTAATTTTTTAGCTTTTTGTTTTTTCTTGCAGAAAAGGCAAAAATCTGCTCTGCCTGGGGCGGCTCCAGGCCTACTGAATCTCCGAGGAGGATCGCCAGCCCACGCGGCGTACGAAACGGTATGGCACAAATGCGCCACATGGCCCATGGCGGGCAGACAGAGATCCTGCGTCGACGTCACGGATGCGTGGGTGGTATCCTGCGGCGCCCTAAAAGCATATGCTATGCCACCTTTTGCGAAAACTTGAAGCTGTGTAATCTCTTTCTTGATCTCCTCCTTGACTGGAGCGCTTAAATGTGGCCACTCCCCTTTTAATTTCTAGGTAGTGCAGAAACAGCTCAGCGGTAACCCCACCAGGCCTTACGGCATACGAACTCTGTCTGTCTCTTATCCATGAATGAAAAGAAAAGAAAAGAAAAGAAAAACAAAAGAGGAAAAATTAGTAAAGAATCAAAAGAAAATGCCAGCCGAAATTCTCGAGAACAAGTTTTGGAAACAAATCCCGACGCCAACAACAAAAACTATTCAGGCCGACAGCGATGGATAGATATATTGGATATATTATTAACTATACATTAGCACTACTCCTTGTAGCACGGAAGCACACAAGTCCCGTGGAATGAGAAGATTCACGGGAATGTGCCGCAGCCTGGCATTTTGCAAGCGTAATCTTTGGGCCTGCAAATGGGGAATATGGGTCTAGACTAAACAAGGGCAAGCTTACTGTGCGACCCGACCGCTTTCCAGCATTCAGGAAGTAGTAAAATGCCCACTCACCCGTCTCCACAACCCTAGAAACCAATTTTATATGGGAAAAAGGGGGGGTGGCAGAGCGTGATCCCTATTTCCCAGCGATGTTGCACGAAGAAGCAGACAAAAGCTAGGAGGCACCCAAGAACGCGAAAAGTAAAGAAAGCCGCAGCTGCACCACCACCACCTTGCACAAAAAATCAGAAGCCGCCAGCGCGCCAGCCAGCGGAGATCTAACGCTAGATTCGAATGTGCCAGTCGCCGACTGTAAAAAATGTACATAATATTATTTGTTTTACTGCGCATGGAGAAAAACGTTACGCTCCAGCAACATGATGCCATGTGGCATGGACAGCAAACCGGGGTATTCCGAGAATCGAACTCGGGACCTCTCGCACCCGAAGCGAGAATCATACCACTAGACCAAATACCCATTTCGTTGTTATTATCATTCAATTTATCACAACCCTAAACCCTATAAACCCCACACTATCCACTATCTTACACAAACTTTTAGAACGAACGAGAGAGAAAACGAGAGAGCAACGAAAGAGAAAAAGAGAAGCTCTTTCACACAAACATATGAAGCTCGGGCCGGCTGTAGATGTTCCTCTCGTCATCGTCGAGAATCGGATACGCCGCAACCAGCCCGTCCTGCGACCCGATGTAGAGCGAGTTGTAAATCTTCCAGTACACCTCGCGGACCTTCCTCGCCGGATGGAACAGCCCCTGGAGGCAGTAGCTCAGCACGATCACTGGCCCCAGCGACACCCGCATCGCCTCGATCGCCTCCATCACCGCGTTGATTACGTGCGGCGACGTCTCGAAGATGTTCGGCCACACGTAGTTCATGAGATGGATGAGCGCGTCCTCGCACCCCAGCCCCGCCACCCCGAGCGCCATATGCTTCACCGCCGACGCCGCCGTCTGCCTGTGCACCAGGTCCCTGTCCATGAGCGCGTCCTCGAGCAGCGGCGTCACCGCGTAGATGTAGTCCTTCCCCATCTCGCCGATGTACTCGAACAGGAACGAGAGCGACTTGAGCACGCCGTTCTGGACGTTGAGCTCCGGGACCCGGTACTCGTTCATCAGCGCCGGCAGCACCGTGAAGGGCGAGCACGTCTCCGCCACGATGGCGATCGCCACCGTCGTGCACACCCGGTTCTGCCGCTCCTGCACCTTCAGATTGTTGAGCAGCGTCGCCAGCACGTCCTGCGGACCGATCGCCTTGGCGATGTAGCCGAACGTGTTCACCGTCGCGCGCCGGATCCCCTTCTTGTGCGCCTTGAGCATCTCCAGCAGCTCGAAGCAGATGCGCATCCACTCGCGCGCCGGGACGTAGTCGGCGCCGCGGTCCGCGATCCGGCCAACCAGGTCGATGCAGTTCTCCTGGACCTTCTCGTGCCTGTTCTTGAGGATGGGAGTGAGCCGCGGTAGCAGGTCCTTGATCGGGGGCGTCATCTTCGACATGCCAATCACGTTGACGATGGCTTTCAGCGCGCCCAATATGGAGCCCAGCACCTCCGGGTACTCCTCACCCAGGTATTCGTACAGCACCACGCCTAAGTGTCCCATGAGCTGCTCCTCACCGCACTGCTTCATCACCACCGCGATCCGGGAGATCAAGTCCGCCGCCTGCTGCCGGACCTTTGCGCTCTTGTTGTTGAGCCGCCACTTGATCGTCCCGCATATCTGAGGCAAGTATGGCTTCGCGCGCTGGCCCATCGCGTTCACCACGGCTCCGAAACCGTTGAGCATCACGTTCGCGTCGTCGCTCGTCTGCTCCTGGAACGCGTACAGGATCCCGTCCACCAGAAACTCCTCCAGCCGGGAGTCGATGTCCGAAGCCCCCAGGTTGGACACCACCTTCTCGATCGTTTCCATAACCATCCGCCTGTACGGCTCGCTCTCGTCCTTAAGATCTTCCACCACCCTGCTCACGATGTCCGAGACACCAACTTTGTTGGCAATCTCCACGGTGGTGTCGACCAGCTGCCTGTAGTTCCTGCGGTCCAATGCCATCCTCCTGACCCAAAAGAACTTGAAGTACTGCGGGAGTATCTCTGTCTTGATGTAGTCCGCTTCCACACCCTCGGTGCTCACGCACTGCTTCACCACCTTTAACACGATCTTCTTCATTTCTTCGTCAGGAGACTGGAATTCCCGGATCAGGATCACCATGACTTCTTTGGTGTAGTAGTTCGCATAGACTGCATCCATCAGCGGAATGATGAACCCGATGGCCTTCAAGAACGCAGCTAGAACCTTGCCCCTGTGATTCCTGATGCCCTTCCAGAGAGGCTTCAAAACCGAGTCGAAGCTTTCTATACCGTAAGGCGCGGCAGCCTCGGCCAGAGCAGCCAAGGAGAGCGCGGTAATAGTCTTCACCTTCTGATTCTCGTCGTTAAGACCGTGCTCGATGATCTCCACCAGTGACTTCAGGTGCGGCAGTACCGCACACCCCATGAGAATTGCAATCTGCTGCACGATCTTGATGCCCGTGTGCCGCGCTTGCCACGACTTTTTGCTCTGACACACCGCCTTGAGGAACAGGAGAAGAGCTGGGATACCAAGTGCCGAGGCCACAACACTGAACGCTCGAGCCGTAGTGTTTCTTACGTACTCATCGATGTTGTCAATGTCGGGCCTCATTGCAGCGATCATGGTAGCCAGCCCCGCCGCCTTGCTGAGATTCGAGATTATTTCTCGGCCTTCAACTCGAGCATAATAATCCTCGTCAATCAGCAGTGGCTCAATCACCACCAGGATCTTGTGCACGAACGGCCTGACCAGCTCGTCCAGTTTGTACAAGACCCTGTCGATGACTTTCACCAGAAGGTGGCGCTCCTGATCCTCAAGCGTGGGAGACATTAGCAGTGGCAAGATCTGGTTGAACAGTGGACCAGCCCCGAACTCCCGAGCCTTGTCCGTCAGCTGCCTCAAAGCCGTCTTCCTCTGCGGAGGAGTACCGTTCTTTACCTTAAGTAGGAGCTTCATGATCTTCCTCTCTTTGTTTTCTTCAGGTGACATCTCATGCTCCTCTTTCTCTTGCAGCAGAGCACTGAAGTACTGGTAGTCCTCGGGCTTGATGAAAGGCAGGCCCTCCGGGGTTTCCTTCGGCACGTCGTACTGCTGGTTGCGATCCTCCTCCGGAATAGAGTACAAAGGCGTGCCACCCATTGGCGTCGGTGTCGCCAGCAACTTCCTCGCCGGAGTTCTAATAGGCACGTAGGACGCAGGAGCTTCGAGTACCTTGTACCCCTCGGTCGGAAGAATTGCGTCCAAGTCCTCGTCCGAAAGCGGTCGATTCCGCTCCTCAATGTCTCTCTCCCATCGATACATGTTGTACTGCTCCGGAGTCATGGTTGCCGCTCGCAGAGCAATCTGTCCGGGAGTAGGAGTCGCAAGGTCGGCACCTCCCATCGGCGTGATCCCCGGAGTGTATCCCAGAGGTGTAGCTCCAAGGATTGAAGGAGCACTTCCAACAGGTGTCTCATCCCAGCGAGAACGCTGCTTCTTGGGAGTGGCGGCTCCCGGTACGCCTCCAATGCTGGGTGTAGCATCCCACGCCACGCCAGGACCAGGAGTGACACCACCGCCAGGTCGAGGCGTCTCGTCCCACCGGTTCCGCCTTGGAGTTACAGGAGTCGCATCCGCGGACGCAGCTTTCCCCGGAGCAGGAGTCGCGTCCCAGCGGCTTGGAGCTGGGGTTGGAGCATCGGGAGCGTCCCACTCTGAGATCTTGGCCTTCTTTGACTCCTCCTCCTCCTTCGCTAAGTCCCATCTGTTCTTCCGCTTGGCAGCGGCAGCAGCAGCAGCAGCCGCGGACGACAGCTGCGCTTTCGTCGGAGCCTCGGAGGGCTCCTCTTTCACTTTCTTCTCCGTCTCCTCTTGCTTCTTCTTCGCAATTGCCCGGAGAGTCTCTTCCTTGTCCCGCTTGAGCTTCTCGTCCATCATCACCTCGGCATAAGTCCTGGTCGTGGGAGCTGGCGTCTTATCCCCCATGGCGAAGGCATCGTTTCTGTCTGGCGAGAGAGCTCTCTTAAACCTCGACTTGCGGTAGTCATCCTCCCTCGCGGCGATGGGCTGCGGCTTCCTAAACCCCAGCTCCTCGTCTGTCACTTCTCCGCGTGGCATCTCCGCTAGCACAGATTTGGGCGCGGTGTACGAGCTGAGCTGTCTACGCGATGCGCTAACCTGTTTCTCCCTCTCATTCCCGTCCTGATCCTCCTCCTCCTCGGTCGTGGCGATGGAATTCACATACTCCATCTTGTCCCCGTACAGATCATTGTCGAAACTTACAGATGAGAGCGCGGCGAGCTCCTGCTGCTTCTGCCGCCGCTCCTCCTGCACGCGCTCGATGTCGTCGTCCAATGCCATAGCTGGGAAGAATCCACACAGAGTGAAACCAAGAGCGCCAAGAGCGCCAAGAGCGCCAAGAACCCTACCTGGAAATGCGACGCCCTAAACTCCCAGGATACCCTAGCGCGCAAGGCCTATCTTTATAGTAGTGGAATGGACGGTTACGATCGTCTCACATACAACCAACGGCTGCTGACTTGCTTTCTTAGGAATATGCTATGCTCGTGAGTGGCATTAGGGCAAATGCTCCGCCAAGGGGAGCGGCTATGCGCACGGGAGCGCCAGGTACTCCATTCTTTCACCACGGCTATGGTTCTAGCTCGGGAGGAACAGGCGGTCTGGTAGTCGTCGGCGTTGTCGGGAAGAATGAGGAGGATTTGTCGCAGCTGCTGGACAGGATTTTGGATCAGCGGGTGTTTGGGGGGATCTCAGGCCATTTCTCGACGAATTCCGGGGCGTATGGCAGTAGATTAGATGCGTTTGGGCGGATTCCAGTCCCGGGCAGTGGCAGGGCGGAGGCTACTGCCACCTCGAGATATGGGAGTTGGATGAAGAACAGGCTGCGGCACTACTGCGATGAGGAACGAGGGATTCTCTTCGTCTTGTTTCCGTGTGGATCGCTTCCAGTGGAGCTCCTCGCGGAGGAGGATTTCTCTGTGATGGGCTTGGCCTCTTTGCTCGAGCAGCATGAGATGTTTGGAGTTCGAGGACTTTTCTTCATGTTCTCGGTAAGTTTGCTTGCTGTGTTTTTGTTTTATCGGGAGCTCTTAGCTCTTATTCTTTTTTTCCAGGTATGTCACGTTGTTCTCTTGGTTCAAGAAGGAGCTAAGTTTGATCCACGGCTCTTGCGGCTCTTCCGAGTGTTACAAGCCGCAAAAGCGGCGATCAAGATGCCGCTAAAGGGAGCTCAAGCTCGGGGTTTTTACACAGGTAGCTCGCCTGTGAGAGGTGGTCGCCAGGCTTCCGGTTTTTCTCTCATGTCCGGGCTCTCACACGGTTTGTTCCCGGGGCAGTGTACTCCGGTTCTTCTCATCGTCTGCATAGACGACTTCTCGGAGTTTGAGACTTCGGACGCTACAGTTCGGCAGTCGAAACTTTCCACGGGGGTAAGACAGGTTGGGAAGCTAGAGCAGGGAACACGACGAAAGTTTCAATCTTCGGTGGAAGCTCAGGTCCGGTTCTTGGTAAAGAAGAGCCGAACAATTCTTGGCTTTGGTGACTCTGGCTTAGGAGGTGGTATGGGACTTAGAGGCTCTGGCAATGTCATGGGAGCCGTTCCAGGTGGTGGTGGAGGTCCGGCACTCTTTACTATGGACCCGTCGAGGGTGGTGTTGTTTGTGGATCGCTTTTCGAATCGATGCTGCGATGCTTTAGAGGGTACTATTACCATCTTGGAAAACATGATCAAGGGGATCCCAAACGCAGAAGGGGCTCTCTGGGAGAATACAAGTGGAGTCACCGAGGACATACAGGCCGTAAGAGATTTTATATGGAGACAGGCCGAGATTGTTAGAGGCAGGGGAGGTACTCAAGCAATGTCTGTGGGTGTTGGGATGGTAGCTGCTGCCGCTGCCGCTGCTGCTGCTTCCGCTGCTGCCGGTTCCATGGGTGGTGCACTGAGGCCAATCTCGAATCCTCCTGAACTTCCAACTTTGCAAAGCTGGCTGACGGCGAGCAACACAATTCTCTCGTCGCTGCTGAAGTTTGAAGGAAAGGTGGAGGTTTCTCGACGTCAGAGCTGCCCTGGATCGGGAGTTGATGCTAGTGCCGGATCAGGTCTTAGACTTTTCAGCGAGGCAGACTTGGCGTGCATAGACTTAGCGTGTGCGGACACGAACACCAAGTTTTCAGCTTCTTGGTGCAAAAAGGCCATGCCTTCTGCTCGAGGAGTTTACTTGAAAGGACTGCCACCCTGCTATCCGACTGCTGTTCACAAGCACCAGTTGGACAAGGCTATCGGCGCCTTTAAAAGTATGGTGAGAGGCCCAGCAGTGAACGTGTTCTTGGAGAAGCTCAAACGAGAGTGTGAAGCTTTGTGGAAGTCGGGAAGGCAGTTGTGTGATGCCGTCAGCCTTACAGGGAGGCCGTGTACGCATCAAGTTCCAGAAAATGCCGAGAAGGAAGAAGTGCAAAGGCCTCACTCCAGCGGTTATGTGTTTCTCAGTGCCTGTGCCTGTGGAAGATCACGGAGGCTGCGAGAGGATCCTTTCGACTTTGACAGTGCAAACGTATCCTTCTTTCGGTTTCCAAACTGCGAGGACCTGCTACCGTCAGTGGTTCTGCCCCATCATTCGAAAGCATCGGAAGGGTCTGCATGGAGCATACTGCGGTTGGGGAATGCAAAGTATTATCAACCGTCGGCTGGTCTTCTGCAAGCTGGTTTTTGCGCCGATCAAAACTATCTCTCTCACTACGACATGTCACTCCACTACAAGTCTGCTGCTGAGCCGGAAAAGACGTTGGAAGGCTCTAAAATTTCAAAGTCGTCGTCTGATCAGGGAACGGTGACGAAGAAGCATTCCGAGGATCCGAAATTCAAGCCCGCGGAGAAGCAAAAGAATGCTGACGTGAAACTTGACTACAGCGAAGAGTCTGCTTTTCCGCCACTTCCTCAGAAGAATGGTCCGAAGCCAACGAAACAAACTCCTAAGAAAGCACCCGTAAAAGCAATGGAGTCCAAGACCAACAAAAGCGAGCAGCCGAAGGAGATGGTAGAAAATGGTGGTTCTCCTTTGAAAACAATTGCTGCTGACGCGGGGGGCGCTCGTGCAACCAAAGAGGCCGCGGACGTTGGTCTTTACATCGGGTTTGAGCACGAGTGTCCTCACGGCCACAGATTCTTCCTATCAGTGGAGCACTTGCAGAAGCTCAGCCCTCCATACTCTCAGCAGGCTGGAGTTGAGAAGAAAGCAAGGCGGAACAAGCTGAGAGGCAACCGAGCAGCACATTTGGATCGAACTGTTCCCGCAAAAACATCGGACAGGCTGCAAGATGGTGTGTCTGGCTCGCTCATTGAGTTCAATGCTGCGATGGAGAACCTGAGCGTGGTCGAAGCTGGTGGTGACGGACGCGTGCTACTGAACTCGGACCTCCCGATCTATATGGAATGTCCGCACTGCAAGGCGAACAGCAACAAAGAGAGCGACTTAAATTATGCTGGGACTGTTTCGCGCTTGCAGCGTATATTTCTGGTAAGTGTTCTTCTTGTTCTTGTAAAGACTTAGAGCTGCGGATTTTGTTTCAGGTAACCCCACCGTTTCCATTGCTCATGGCTTCGTGCCCTGTGGTGCAGTTTGATGTAAGTACTACTTTGCGTGTAATTTTTTTTCTGATGCGATTCTCGATTTTCTCTTTTAGGAAACGTCGACACCTAATGCTAAGTGTGCCATGCGTTTTAGCTTCAACTGCGAAGTGGTATTGCCACCAGACAGTTTTTTGAGCTTACGCCTGCCTTTTGTGTACTGCACAGAGAATGAGGATGGTTCTCTGTTGCCACTGCAGTACAAAGAGGATCACCCCGAGCTGAGCGCCTGGCTTGTCAAAGGCACCGTATTTTATGTCCTCTCCGGCAGGCAGTGACGACAAGAGACACGATTTCTTCCACTTCCACGATCCAGCTGCAGCAGACGTTATGTTTTCTCCCTCCAGTGATCACCACTTCAGCAAAAATCGTCATCGAGGTCTTTACAAAGGGAAGCTCGCTGCCGCCAGTCTCGCTTCATCGAGGTCCATGGAAAATGGTAAGCTGCACGCATTCAATTTTGTAAAACTAAGACTGTTCCTTTTTGTAGGCTCCGTGAGAGACCTCTCCATCACTTCGGTTTCGTCCAAGCTCTTGGCTTCGCTGTTGATATGTATAGCTAAGGCAGACAAGGAAACGTCACAGCAAAGGTGGTACGTCTTTTCGTTCCAGCGATCCTCTTGAAAATTGCATATAACCTTTGGAATTGCATTGCAGAGCTCGTTCAAAATCTTTCTTTCGCTCGAATCAACAGCGTCCCTGTTTCTAGTGCTGCTGCTACGCACGAAAAAATGTTCTAGAGAAGAAAGTTCTAGCACGAACTCTCCCATTCTTCCTCCCTTAAGCGTACGGCGGAGATTGGCCGTGATGTCATGCATATGGTACTGGTCATGTGCGTCATGTGGGGCATGACGTGGCGTGTGGGGAGGGCATGACGTGGCATGTGGGCATGGATGAGGGCCACGACAACACCATTCATCGGCATCGTCTTGGGCATTTTACATTCATCCTTTCCTCTCCCCACAAAGCAGGCGTGCATTGTCCACGTTAGGGTTCCAGTGAGGCGCCTTGTTATTTCGAGCCCTGGGGCGATGAGCGCGGCGCGATCGACGAGCAAGGCAGCGGCGCGACGCGCTGGGATTGCGTCTTGCTTGATTGATTGATTGCCGTGCTCCCTTTCTCGATCCCGCGGGGATTTTGGTGTCTCTGGAAAGGGGGCTTTGGCTGAATTTGCGTTTCCCGGGGCGATTCCAGGCTTGGCACCTCCCAATGCACAGATTCTGAGGTAAATTTCTTTCTCTCACTTCCATCATCACTTTGATTTTGTGTGTTCTTGCTTGCCCTTCCCTTTTGATTTGAGCTGGATGTCTGGATGGTTGTCTATCTTTCTTTGGATTGACGCATTCTTCTCTTGGCCAGCGTTGATAGTAAGGGATCCGATCGGCGGACATGGGAAGGCTGTGCCTGATAGAATTGGATGGGCGATTCTACAGCTGCCATTCTTGCCGGACACACCTCGCAAACTTCGATCAATTGATGTCAAAGGCATGCCATCCTATCCCTCGGTCTTCCTGCTTTCGTTACTCTTAAAATGTCTGATTAGAGGCCGTTTTCTCGTGTGCTGTGTTTTTATTTTTTTTCTTTCGCTTCTCCGCCCAGGCCTTTCACTGCCGACACGGAAAGGCTTATCTTTTCAACACAGTGTAAGTTCTCTCTCTCTCTCGCAACAAAGCAAATTCCCCATTCTTTCTTCATCGCTTGGAGGTATGATGAATCTCCATTGGCCGCATTTCCTTTTGGCTGCGTCTATTAATCTCCTCGCGTGTTTTTGCAGCTTCTTAGACATGAATCATGGTAGTGTTTGATAGGAACTAACCAAAGCTCTTTCTTTTTGTAATGGAGCTGCTTGCGACGTGACAGACGCCCTGTCACGGGAATTTGCATTGGACGGGATGGAGTGTTTCTTCGTTCTAAGATATGTCCTTTCAGAGGATTCCACGGAAGGCATCATATATCATCGGCCAGGCCTTTGATAGCGAGTGGACACATGGATGGTGGACGAGAGGTACTCTTTGGTATTAATATTTACAGGGTCCTTCGAGCGAGAGAAGCTCAAAGCAGTGACAACATCTTAGAGCTAAGGCTGGATCTCTTTTTTCTCCCGGTAGCACTAGGACTGCATTGCATGGCTATGCTGCTGATTTCCCGATCTCGCTTTTTCTTTCTTTCACATCCTTTTTTTCCTTTTAGCACTGACGCGGAGTGTGTTTCTCTGTTCCCGCAGTGTTAATGTGTTTGAGGGACCATTGGAGGAGCGGATGATGACAACCGGTGTCCACACTGTGGCTGACATTTACTGCAAGGGGTGCCAACAGAATGTTGGCTGGAAATACGTGAGTGGAATCCATCTATCACCATGCTTTTCTTCTTTTTCTCGTTCCTTGTTTCGTGCTTTGACTTGGTGCTATTGCTTTCGCAGGAATTCGCGCAGCACAAGGCCCAGAAGTACAAGGAAGGGAAGTTCATTTTAGAGAGGTAAATGCCGTCATTCAATGTTTTGTATGTGCATCAAGGATTTCTTGCTCGTTTGCTTGCAGAGGAAGAGTTGTAGGTTGCGAGAAAGGCGATTTCTATCTGGACACACAGGCGATTGGAAGTGACCCCGACGACGTACCGCTGGAATGATATTGAATGGATGGCAGGGAAATAACAAAAGCAAAGCGAAGCAACGCAGAGGAAAAAAAAAAAGAAAAAAAAGAAGCAAGGACACAAACTTGACACTTGCAGCATTGTCTAGATTCTCCTCAATTGTTGTATAGCCTCCAAACTGTAAGAAAGATTCCCATTTAAAGTTCCTTGGATTAGGAGTAAACCTTTTCGCGAAGGAAAAGTTGGTGCGAGTGTTTTGGAAGGTAGACACTACGTGAAGCACCAAACCAGGCAAGAAATTCGTATCACCATGCTTTTTCTTTCTTTGGTGGGCATCTTTGGAAGGAACGATGGTCGCCCGCCAACTTTCTCACTTACATTAAAATACCGCTCTTCTCCAGCTGCTTGACTTTGTCACAATGATATTTTTAAGAAACCAAAAAAAAAAAAAACAACAACCGTAAAAAAGAGCGAAAAGAGTAAACGAAAGAAGAAAAAAAAAAAGGCTTCGTTAGCTACAACATAGAGCACTTGGGAAGCAAAACAGTGCCCGCCTGTATATAGCGTTACAACAACAAGTCTCTCACTTTTGCCTGTGTTGCGTCACCTCCTCTTCTCACAATGTGTAAGAAAGAACTCGTCGTTCTTCGCTCGCTCGCCTCCATTAACTTTGGCAATTCGATCCTCTTCCGAAAGCGCTCAATCGTTTGGATCGTTGTCCTCGTCCACCTCCGCCATGAAGGCGTCCTCGGACGGCGATCGCTCGGCAGAGTCCACCACCGCCAGGCGATCGACTGCTGCTGCCGCAGTGGAGTTGAGAGGAAGCTCCTCCTCCTCTACACTGTCCATGAAATCCATGTCCTGTTCTTCTGTGTCACCGAAACCTGCGAGGCCGCTTCTCCTGCTCCACTCGGGGCATCTCCCCGGTGTGTCGGCCTCGCTCTGGCTCTGGTTCCTCGAGCACACGCACTCCGGAAGAGGGTGGGACAAAAACGAGAGCGGCCTCACGCTGGAGGAAGCTGCGGCAATCCCCTCCTCTCCGGACGACTTGAGTATCGAGTTTCTCGCGGCGGCCATCCACTCGCGACCGGGATCATACATATGATCCCGGACTTGCATCAACAGCTTCGCCAGTGGCTTCCTGTCAAACAGTCACAACACGGACGTGAGCAAACATAACAAGCAAAGGCTACGATTAGAAAAAGTCTACCTCTCCGGCCGATAAGTTCTTCGGGATGCTCCAGCATATACACGGTGTCCCATCACGAGGCTGGCGAAGTTTGGATGACCACTCTTGTCCTCATCGAACGCACTAAAAAAAGCATCAGCCTGTGTGCAAATAATATAGTCGAGTGCCTGCCACAGCAGCTTATGGCTGCGGATCCTCATATCCTTGAGCGCTGGTGCTGGCTCCGTATCGGATTCCCCGATCCAGCCCCACCATCCTTCCAACTCATGCGAGTACTTTGGCCTCCCTGCGGGTGGTGGCAATGGCCTCGGCCTCGGCCCGGCTTTTTCCCAGGCTGCCAGCCTCGCCTTCTCGTTGATCTTTGGCAGGATGAATGGCGGAGGCGGTGGAAAGTCTGGCTCCTCGCCGTAGACTGTGAAGCGCTCTCTCGCGGTCGTGAGTGTCGTCCTGTCCTCGAGATTAGGATACATGCTGCGGAGTGGGAGAAGTATTCGCTGGCCACCAAACACTTCGACACCTGAGATGTAAATGCGTGAAGTTTGCTTATATCCTAAGGATCGAAGGAGAACGCCAACCTTGAAAAGCAAAAGTGGAGTTTTTAATCTGACTAACGAGCTGGAAATAGAAGAGTACCTCGTCTGGCATCAGAGGACAGGAGCCATTTAGCCACTGCATCTCCGAATCGACGTTAAGCTCCCCACGCACAATACCATTCTTTATCATCTTGGCTCTTCTGTATTGAATTAATTCCGTGTGAACATCCTGGAACCATAAAGTTGGTTTAAGACAACGACGTGAGAATAGATTTTGATTGTACCTGGAACCGCTCTGCACAGCCATGATATGCCAGCGTATCTCGTTCCAACCCAAGGTGCAAAGCCATGAATGGCTTTCCAGCAGTTTTCAATCTGATCACCATCAAGTACTTTGTTTGAAAACCATAAAAAAGGAACACGTTTGGTATGCTCGTACCTGGCCAGCATTTTTGTGCTGAGCTCCTCTATCTCCTGCCGGAACTTCAAAGCGTGGAAAGCAACGCGGCAGCGCAATCTCTGATAGTGCTCCAAGTCCGTGCCGAGCAAGCTCTAAAAGAACGCTCATATATCTCAAACTCCACATCATAGAGCGGAAAAAAAGAAATACCTGGAGACAACCTCCACCGGAAACCGAGAGCCCGACAACACCCTCCTTTTCAATCTCGGGAAGAACATCTTGAACGTAAAAATCCACAGAAGCGGTGCTCGACACCACAAGATAGCTCTGATTCTTCGTTTTCTGCCGCAATCTTTTCGGAAGCCGAGTGACAACGGGCACGTCGTTCGAAAGCACCGAAACGAAGTGCTGCTCATCATACAGGTAGTCGAACCCTCTAAACTTGGAACTGGTTTGAGAAAACAACATAGAAAACAAAGAAAAGACGTGATTGAGAGATACAAACGTTTTTCAATGAAACCATACCTTATTTGCTTGGCAACGACTTCCCGGAGCTTTGGAACAACAAGAGTGACATTCAAAAGCCTGGCCACCACGATGAGATCACAAATCTAATGGAAAGAACAAAATGATCCACCACAAAACTAGAAAAAATTAAAACGCTTCATAAGATCGCTACAGTCTAGGAACAAAGAAACAAAACGAGGAAGAAACAAGGAAGAACTTACTGAAGACCTAATCTCGTGGAAGTCTCCCCGGATTTCGGCGTGGAGAAATCCTCTGGTGGCGAGAATGGGCGCTGGGTGGACGCCGCCCGGCTGCTGGAGCTCATCCGCGGCCCTGGCCCAGGTGTAGTAGCGCGCCGCGAAGAAGTGGGCGGCCAGGGAAATCATGGACAGCGCCATGCCCAGCACTGCCACTGTCTTGAGGCTGGATTTGAACGCCATGCCATTACGCATTGCGAGATCACGCCCGCGCGCTGTAGATCGCGACGAGAATCATCCCGGAGACGAAGAAGAAGAAGAAAGAAGCTTCCAAAAAGAGATCGGGGGAAAAAACCCTACTTGAGCCGCGGGCCATGTCAGCGCCACGTCATACATTATTTTCTCTCTCATTATTTTGTTTTGACCAGGGATCGAACCCAAATCTTATCCATTGTTTTAAGTGTAATGATCTCATGGCCCAATGGATAAGGCGCTGGTCTACGGAACCAGAGATTCTGGGTTCGATCCCCAGTGAGATCGTTTTGCTTTGCTGCTTGTTTTCAAATATCAGGGCTTCCATGGCGATGGTGCTCCAGGAAGAGCTGCGTCAGGTCTTCGAGGTAGAGTGGCCAGTAAAAATTTTTGCTCTAGCAATCAGTCATTCAGGTGATCGAAGCCAGGAGTTGCGCCAATGACTTGAATCTAGTGGTACATCTCACTAAGGCAAGATCGTTTTCATTCATGCAACTAAAGGACCCGGCTTCTTTTCTTCTTTTTCTTGTGCAGGCAACCAAGATTCTCAAAGAAATGGCACAAGACGAATCAACCAAAGTAATCACCAGTTTCTCTTTTCTAACTTCAGCCATGGTTTTTGCAGCTACATTGTGATGATGCCCAAGGCAGTCGTCTTTACAAGCTCTTGGAATCTCATACAAACTTGCTTCTGGTATGTTTTCTTTTCTTTTCTTTTTCTCAAACACACAAGTGCTTAGCTACGTCTTTTCCAGAGCCTGTTACATTGCCTGGATGATCCATATGTTGTTCATTGTGCTCGCAAGACACTACTCGGTATTTCCGACTACCTCTTACCATATGTAATGCTGTTACGCGTTCCTTGATCGGTAACTCAATGTTTTTTCTTCCAGAAAAATTGGAGAACATATATCCAGCTTCTGTGGACAGCCTCTCGATCGCCAACGACGGATGTGCTATTACTCTTCCGTGACATTTTCAAGCTTTGTCACGAGAGAAGAAGGCCGAGCGCTACCGAGGTTCTTGTGGAGTGTCTGGGATGCAACATGTCTCTGTTGATCACTGATCACCCTTCTGGCTTGTACTGGGGCGCTTTTCTCAGGCTGCTGATTACTTCAGTACGGATTCTCCAACGGCAAGAGGAAACTGTTCTAAGTTCGTCTTTTCTGGCGAGACTAAAGGATGTGCTACCGTCAGTCGCGAAAAACTTTTCTCGTGAAGATTTTACTAGTGCAAGATACGCCAAGTACAAATCACTGGTACGTTTCTCATAAAGCACACACTTGTTCTACTCACGTTTCTTGTTTCCGACCAGGTGCTACTGCTCAAACTGTCAGAGTTTGGTGATCCCGAAGTGTCACTTTGTTCTTTGACGCTTCTTTCCACTGCAGAGCCTGGACTTTTACAGCCTTCGTTGCGGACATCTCCAAAACTGACTCAGTCCTCACCATTTCAAAACAGCGATGATGCATCGCCGGAACTACAAAGGCGTGCCATACTCATTTTGTTGAAGAGCGTGATCACAGCGAAGAAAACTGTTTCCGAAGATGTGAACAAACTTGCAGAGAAAGTTTTTCTTGACTGGCTCGCAGGTGAAGACGAAACCCATGGTGCTATGGATGATCTCCTCTTGTCACTGGTGCACTTGTACGTGGACGAGGTAGATGATTAAAAATGCTGTTGTTGATTGACAGTTTTCAACATTTTCAGGACGATATGCTGCTCAACCTTCTCGTAACTTTCATGGACTTCCAATCTGATTGGTAACCTTTCCTTCTTTCGGTTGTCCTCATCAAGCCTGTGCGGATTGCAGGTACAAAACCAACCACTATCAAGCATTTTTCTGCTTTATTTGTCCTCGGCGAGTTTTCCATCTATTCCTTGGAGCGGTATGCTTGTTGTCATTTGATTCTAGAAATATATGGTGCTCAATCGTAAAATCCACAGATATGTTATGATCACACCGTGTTGATCGACTTGCTTATCTCTGAGACTTCCGGGGTATCATGTATTCACTACTTGCTCAGGTAATTCTTGTGTTTGAAGATCCAATCTTATGTGTACTTGTGCAGATGCTTGAGAGTGATTGGAGACGACTGGGCTGAGTTCCTGCTGATACCTCGGAAGATGAATACCTACAGCCTTGAAACGAGGAAGAGAAAACGTGTCGACGAGCTTCCACTGGTCCATGAAGTCTCGAGTGAGCGGGCAAAGCTTTGCCTCGTTCATCTCCATGGCTCTATTCAGCGGCTGCATGCCAGGAACTTATTTCCATACAATGCTGGCCCGCTTCTTCAAAGGTAGCAAAGGATTCGAAAAAACTTTCTCTACTGATGTTCGCGTTCCTGTGCACCAGGCTCGCTGGGTGTAGCAAGCTTTGAACGTGGTCAAATGACACAAGAACACAACAGGCCTCGTTTGGTAGTTGAAGAGCATTCTCAAATGAATCGAGAAGCGCTCGCCCGAGAAATGGAGAAAAGCTCGCAGATCGACGAGGAAGATTCACGCCGGAAAAGCTCAACCAAAAGAGAGATATCGAAACTCTCACTCACTCTCTCTCTCTCTCTCTCTCTCTCTCTCTCTCTCACACACACTCACACACAGAGATTAAAAATGAATATATACTTAATTCCACTTTTAAATTTAACTTTTTCTAGGGTTAGGGCTTTTGAGCATGGCGATGGTAGCATCAGCGCCATGCCTGCTCCTTGCGTTCTCTATGCTGATTGCTACTGTCTCGGCGCATTCTTCATCAGCGATGGCGCCCGCTTTCATCTGGTCGAATCTCAGGTATCAATAGTCACTAGCAAGCGGCAGCTGGAAATTCATTGCAATTTCGCTCAGATGCGTAGATTCAGGTCAGCAAGTGAACTACCAGGTGTCCGATGCTCGGTCTGTCACACGCGCGGCGCTTGAGCAGCTGGATATGAAGAAGGTAGAGCTCCATTTCTCCTTGAAATCTCTACTTATCTTCCGCTTTGGTTGCCTCCAGTGTTTGGATGAATCCGAGAAGCCAGCTGATTTGCTTGTGGCATTTGTAGGAAGTGAGGTAACGTCGTTTGTCGATTCTAAGCTGTTACAGAAGGGAGTAAGATCTTCCATTTTTTCCAGGTTCGTTCCGTGGAGCTCTCGAATGAGTTGAGCTCCTATACTGTTGAGAAACTTAAGGTCATTGGTCCCTGCTACCTCTTGAAGAGCTGATACAAGTTTTTCTCATTTCCCGCAGGGGTTGATACTGGCTTCCAATTCGTCGCTGTCATTTCCATATGTCGCCGCAGCGGATGGAATCTCAATCGGCAGCGATGTTGTTCGCACACTGCAAGATAGCACGGACTTGGTTGCGGCATTTGGATGTCCTGGCACGCTGTCCTCGCTATCGGTTCTAGAAGCCGAGGTTCTTACAGCTTCCCGACACTGGAGGTTTTAATTTTTCCTTTTCTTCAGAACTACGTCGTTTCAACGAAGGCCGAGCATGCACAGGTCTTGTTACTCTGTTTGTCTTCCTCAGCCCTGGAACCTGAAGGTCTGTATGCGTTTTTTTCCAAGCTCGCTCGTTCCATCTAATAGATTTTGCCACGGCATTTGCAGGACAAGTCGTGCAAAGGATCCTCTCCAAGCTGGAGGAGTCTTCCGTTCGATATGTAGCTTTGTACGCATCGGATCCTCTTGGATTCGAAAGTTTCTACGCGTCGAAGCACAGGATGCTGGCATCGAATGACACGAAGCCATACTGTGACGATGTTTGCAAGACAAAAGCGACACTTCTCGAAGCAATCTTTGTGGTAAGCTAGTGTCTCTTTTCTTGTTTCTTTTCATTCTCTCACGAAAACATACTCTTGACTGCCACAGGTTATCGTTCTTCTTATGATCCTGATTTCCGGCCTGTGCTGCATGATGGGCATCCAAACACCGCTCCGATTCGAGAAGCCACACGAAAGCTAGGAGTTTTTACACCGGACTACTACGGAAAAATTGTAAGCATTGTAATTTAATTTCCTAATAACAGCTCGGAACAACGAAAAAACCGCTTCGCATCCAAAGGAATCCATACACAACCTTTTTTACAAGGATCATACCACGAACGTAGGCACGATTTACATGATGGTGCATCTGCTCCGGCTCTCCTCCGGAGCTCCATTCTGCTGAAGAAGACGCCTCGACTCGGATGGTGTGTAGGAAAACTCCCCGGCATACTGGAGAAATCAAAATGTTTGCATTGTGAACGCTGAAATGAGATCGAAGAAAAAAATTTGAGAACCTTGTCTCTCAGCTTGGTGCTCCGTGTCGATGATAGCTCTGGTGGCGATCCTTGACGCCGAACGTTTGATCTTGTCGGAGGTCTAACGTAGTCGTCGTCACTGTCATAGCCGGACCTGTTAAAGTCGCCGATCACGGCTCTCAGGATCATTCCAAAGAGGAGGCCCAGAACCTGTGCAAGACATTCTCGGAAAATACCAAGAGGAAAAAAAAAGAGATACCTCCACAATGACAACGGTCAACCCGATCCACTTGCAGAACTCGGCGTTTTTCTCCACAAACTTCCTGATGCTGTGGATTTCACCAGTGGGATCTTTTGGAAAGTCCTGGATACGAGCCTTGAGAAAACAAAAACAAAAAGGGAAGAACGAGATAATTACCCGTTCCCATGACTTGTCGAAGAAAATGGTGGCAGCGAGAGCTGCTTGGAGCAGAAGAAAAATTCCCAAGAACACAGAGCTCTGCAAAACAGAAAAAGTTCCATTCGACACAAGAAAAGAAAATTGGAGAAACTTACGCAGCACAGGCAGCATCCACTGGCAGCTTCGGCCGCAACGTATCCCGAGAAAGAGATTATGCAAACAAAGATGCCAACTCCCATGAACGCGTACACAAACCTTACACAAAGCAAAAGAGAAAAAAAAATCTGAGTAGTAGTAAAAATTACAGGCAATACCATGGAACCGGAAGAGAGAGCTCCACTCCAATCCGCGACGAATTTGCCATCGCCCCCAGCAGCTCGGATCGAACAACCGGCAAAGAATTCAATCCATCGTCGTCATCCCCGTGCTTGTGGAGCTGATTGAGCATCCACACCGAGTAGAGGATCATACCTAGCCCAATCACGAACAGCAGCAAGTTGAGGAGCTTGACGACGATCTGGAGGCATCCCCGGCATTTCATCTTGCGCGCGCGGCCGAGCGATGGAGCTATGGCGCAATGGCGCAGCGTGGCGCACGGCACAGATCTACCAGCTAAGCTAAATTTGCTTCCTCCAAAAAATAGGGCTCTTGTATTGGGTCTTTAAAATCTTAAATTTAAGGGAACTTTTTAACTACTGTCGTCCTCGTTCTTCGTACTGCGATGGTTTATCTTTTGTGCGCGATACAAATCCACTACCTGAGAATGCAAAGAAGGATGTTATATATTACAATGCAACACGAACAGCCGAAAGAGTGGAACCTGGTCGGAAGAAGTTGCTTGCTCGGGTTTTTTATCCTCCCTCATTCTTAGCAGCCGAGGAAATCGAAGAGAGATGCCCTGGCAATGCAAAAGAATGGAGATGGAGAATTCCTTTTTGTCACTACAAAGAACATACCTTGCTTGTCTCCAGCTCGCCATACGCAGCTTTGTGCACGGGACTGATGCTTAGATCAGCAGCCTTCACCTCCCAGACCTGCAAAAAGCCTTAGCTCTCGAATCCAACTTCTTCTCAAACTTCTGCCAGTACCTCTACAGGATCGAACCAAACGTCCACCGCAAGCGTTTCACCGTATCGGTAGTAAGGCTAAAGCGCAAGGATTAAGTGGAAACATTAAGTGGAAACTATGGGGCGAATACGTACCCTTGGAGTGTCAATGACGTGCTTTCGAAGAGTGTTGGACCGCTCCTCGAGAACAGCTTCAGTAAAGCCCGTGCCTGCACAAGCGTGGTTTTAGTCGAAGTGATTCAGGAGCTGTGCGCAATCTACCAATTTTGCAAATGCTTTGGTATTCCTCCTTGTCGGGATCATAGCATGCCAAGAGGAACGCACCATAGACGCCTGTTCAGTAAAACGTGTAGCAAGAAAAAAAAGTACAAGAGAATGCAGTCTTACCAACTCGCTTTCCTCGCCCATGGAATGCACCGATCGGAACCAAGTCCAGCGAATCTCCTATGCTGAGAAACAGAAGTTTAGCTTTGAAGAAAAACAAGGAAAGAAAGCAATGCTTACGTATCCATGTAATCCTTTTTGAGCTTCAGCCAATTGTTTGAGCGCTTTGCGGGCTCATACGTCGCATCCTTCTCGAGTGTCTTGACAATTAGTCCCTCGCAACTGCGCCACACAAGTCAGACTATCGAAACCCAACCACGATAGAGACGAAACCTATGATTGATGGCATCGTCCAGAAAGCTCTGAATCTCTTCCAGCTCTTTGGAGTTTGTTGCGGTTGCAAACTGGAACTCTCCAGGTTTCTCGATAAAGGATTGATATAAGAGCTGTGAAAACGTCCAAAAGTTAAGTCGCAAAGCTCAGAAAGAGTCTAACCTCGCGCCTTCTAACAAGTTGTTCTTGCAATAGTACTCTACCATTTAGATATAAGAGATCAAACGCAAATATGAGAACTTTCACTTTGATATCACTTAAAATAACGCCCTTCCTTGCCCGCGTGCTCAAGACCTACAAAAAATACTTAATTTCAAACAATGAAAAGCTGATCGCATCTTACTTGAAAAGGCAGGATCTTGTTGCTTTCCTTGTCATATGCAACTATCTCGCAATCCATTACAAATGAAGACACCTCCGGTTTCATATAGCTGTATCAAGAAAATCAAGCATGTCTCGTAGGAAACAAAAATACAATTCGTACCCACTTATGGAAGAAGTTACATCTGGAAACTTCCCAGTGTTGCGCTCTGCATTTCTGCTATAGACTTCGACCCTGCCATCCTCGAAGTAATGAATCTGTGAAGCGCACGTAAGAATAAGCAAAAAAAAATGTTCTTAGCTACCTGTGCTCTTTCTCCATCGTACTTGTATTCACAAGTAAACACGGTGTTCTGGAACTTGTCCAGGATTTCCGATACACCTTTTGTGGGCTTTGCAAGCATGGGCCCAACCGGAACCCCTACTGTAAACGCACAAACTTCAGGTAGCTTGGAGATACCATCTGTCAGTAAAATAGGTACTATCTTCTCAAAAATTGGAAGAACCGAGTACGTTTGTTTCATAATCTCCGCTGCCTGTTTATCAAAAGAACATGTGAGCTACAAGATATACAGACGAGAAGCACAAACTATATCACCTCTTCTAGCCGACCTGGGAGCATTGAACTAGATACAGGTGGCTGCTCCGCATATACTGCGGCTTGAGCTAATGCAACCAAAACGGTGGCCTCTGCAAGTCCAACACGAAGCTTTGCCTGAAATTTTAAGAAAAAGAAACGTTGGAAAAGTCCATCAAATGAACCAACTCACCTGAAGCAACCGCACGAGGTATTGAGGTTCACAATCAGTCGCAGCAACAAGAAGCGACTTCATTCTAGATCTTTTCTTTTCCTGGCTATCCTTGCCACTTTCCTAGTGGAAGAAAGCTTTAGAAAGTAAATAGAGTTATAAAGATCGACTCTACCTTGGCTATGGAGCGGAAGGTTTCCAGTACTTTTGCGCAGGTTAAAGGAGGATGTTTGAACATCAGTCTTTGCGTTGAGCGACTGGCCTTAGCCACAAGTCCCAAGTCTCCAAGAGCCTGCATTCAGCCAGTATAAACAAAAGCTAGAGGCAATAAAAACCGAACCTTCATCTGGCTCTTTATCTGGTCCTCCTTCCTCCCAAAGGCATCAGCAAGAGCTTTGATGATCGAAGCGTCACCAATTCCAAGCTCGATACCATCGTGAGCAGGAGCGATTTTATTTGCGGAGAGGTAAACCACCGGAAGCAAGTCCTGCGGCGTCGTTGCTATGACTGTCCGAAAAGCGTTGCAAAGAATCTCTGTCATGACAAGCCTCCCACTCTCGTTCGAGATCACTGCAAATGAAACTAAGTTTCCGAAAGAGCAAAGACAAAAAAGAGAACTTACTGTCCATCACTCTTGCGAAGAAGAGGAATGGGACTGGCTCTTTGTCTTCCCAGAACGCTGCTTTCCTTGGATCAAAAGGCTTGGAACGCAGCGCGTCCATAGCTTGATCCACGCCTGGCATCTCCCCTGTTACCTGTTGAGTGGAAGAAGTGGAAACTTCCCTCGTCCCCTTAGACGAAAGTGGAGCTCGTCCCTTGTTTGAAGCAGCGGCAGCGCTGCTCCGAGCAGCGCCCATGAGAACATCGGCCACAGTCCTGCCCGACATCTCTAGAGCGTTTCAATGAGGCAAATCTCTAGAAAGCTGCGAGAGAATTTACGTGTAGTGTCGGAGACGATTCAGCGATGGGAGAGCTCGGATCGATGGCGCTGCTGCTGCGACGAACAGGCGGCCCTGTAAACACGCTCGCAGTGTCGCTGTGGACGCCGATCGCGCCACGAGCATTCTAAAACCCTAATCTACTAAACCCTACAAGATGGAAGCTTTCTTTTTCTTTTTTCCCGCCATAGCCGCTATTTTACTCCCTGTGAGTGTTCTTCCATGGGCTGGGGCTGCGCTACCGCCGCCAGTCCTCCAGCTTCTTCTTGCTGCTCCAGCGCTCGTTTGTACCATCGATTCATCGAAAAGATTGTCTGGATCAAACAAATCAATTGATCAAAGCAGAGAGAGAGAGAGAGAGAGAGAGACTAGGGCATATAGACAATCGAGAATTTCGAGACGAAGAGAGAAGAGGTAGCTTAGCTGCATTACCTGAATGCCGGCAGCCCAGGCGAGGAGCACCGCCACTCCGACAGTGCGCTGATCAAACTTCATTCACGCCTAGGGTTTATGGCTCGGTCGAAGAGGTTTTTAGCAAAAAAACGAGACAACGCTAGCTAAGATCTAGAATTCCTCCTCCAGATCGTCGCTAGGCCTCTCTTCTCTGATCGGCGCTGCTGGAATTTGCTCCACCTCGTCCACTCTCCCAAACTTCTCATTGAACCCGGGCTGCCGTTTGAGCCAAGACATATGCGCCTACAAACGAAGAAAAGAAAGAGGTCTCTTGCCTCTAAATCATCTTCGCAAACCTGTAACGCGGCAGCCCAGATGATGAGAACAGTAGCCGCGATCGCTCTCTTGTTCATCCCTCTAAAATCGAGTAAGTATACAGAAAGCTTAAGAAAGGAATATCTTACAATATATTCTTTACACCCTTTGGTTTAATCTAGTGACTGATTTTAATTTTTTTTCTCTAATCATATTTAGCTCTTCCTAATGAGAAGGATCGCGGTTTTACCATAGCGCTGCCTCCATGATTAATTATCGTTGAGAATGTTGCCAATGGGGGTAGCATATGCAATTGCTTTATGCCACCAGACATCACACGGGTGATATTTATTTATATAAAGACGGACATATGGATTGCTATAATCATGTGATAATAGATTTTCCTGCTTTACTTTCTTTTCGTTCCATCTTGATAATTTTTTACACAGTAAGAAATTTTGATGCAATAATAAGCAACCTCAAGTGAAATCACCAAGACTAAAATTTGCAATTACACTACAATTTTATTGCTCATTATTGCCCAAGTGAAATTTAGACCGAATGTTATATTTTAATACTTTATTTCACTCTATTATTTATTTATATAACTACTGCTTTGCACTTCTTCAGAGTTCCCTACTGTCTCGTTTTTGTTCTAAATGTTATGTTTTGCTTGAAGCCTTTTACTATGATCCAGTTGCCAAAAAACTGCCTAACTTGCAAGGGCAGAACTCATCACACACTGATACTAATATGGTCATCATGCAAACTTCAAGGCTTCTAGATTCTGAAGCATGGGGTAAGCATCTTAATAAGGCAAAGGGGAAAGTGTTGATAGATAGGATTCTATTATTGGACAGTTCGCTAAACGTTTCTAGTGAAACTCGCAATCGTCACTGAGATCGCGATGCCAAATTTTAGCTGCAAACTCGTCCACATCAGGGACGCATGTGTTTCCTTTGTCAACACCGGGTGGATCCGCCCACTTAATTAGCGGGTCTGGATCCTCAACCAGAAATGCCATCATTTGCCTTCCCCGAATGACAGTGCCCTCCACAATTCCAATCACCATCAGGATGTCCTCGTCGTTGGGCGGATAGAACCTCCAAGTCACCGCCGGCGTGATGTTCCTAGGAAAGGCCAGAGTCTCTAAAACAAGAAAGGAAAAGAGGAAAGAAAAGATACCGAACGTCCGTCACCTTGC